GGAGCATTGAAGGAAACTGTGACTTTTTTTGGTCAGTGGTGAGCTAAGATATACCTTGTAGTGGGCTTATGTAAGTGTATTGAGGATTAATACTGTACTGACCATAGGATTTGCTCCTTATTAAGAATATTATTACAAGTTGTGTAATAAAGCAGTTGAGTCTGTGGGATTGGTATGTTCTTTCTGTAGGTTAGATTATGACGCAACACAAGATAACTTCAATTTTTTCCCCCTAGGTGTAATTTTAGGAGCATTTTATTACGGTTACATGGTGTTCCAAATCCCAGGGGGATGGTTAGCATTACGAGTGGGTGGAGCTCGTTTGTTTGGAGCTGCTGTCATGATCGCCTCATTGTTTACTTTGTTAACTCCCATGGCAACGCGCTGGAACCCAGTTGCATTGATTGTATTAAGAATATTAGAGGGCCTCGTGTTGGTGAGTTAAAAATAATAATAATGATGACACTGATAACGATTGAAGTAAAAAAAAGTGAAATTAGTACTAGTATTTTAAATGATGCAGTTGAAAAAAATCATATTTTAGGAAATTGTCTTAAGCTTCGATATTAAAGTAGTTAGCGACTTACAATAACATATTTTATCAGGGATAAAGTCTCATAAAACTGGGGCAATGCATACGATTATATTTAGGATTAATACTTAATTTCTTTACCAGGCATTTTTCGGAGGGAGGTAATGTGGGGAAAATAGAATTTTGACTTACAGAGGAACTTGAGCCCTTTATTACACCTATTTCGAAATCACTGGTGGTCCCTGTAATCTGATTGGCTCTAATTGATGCGATTTATTCACAAATTGCACCATTTTTTGCTTTAAATCGCATCTTTTTTCCAGCCAATGAGGTGGCTACACTAAAAACACAACAACCAATCAGATTTCAAGGCTTGTTTAAAGTAACCCGTCAAATTGCAGGAAAATTAAAGACAAAGAGCGTCATGCGGCAAATTTTGCAACTTTTGTTTCAAAAACTCTTATTTATTCCC